GCGCGCCGGGAGCTGCGCGAGGCGAGCCACAGAAAGCTGCCAGGCAGCCCAGGGCTCCATGCTGGACTTGGCGAGAGAGTGGAGAGAAAGATGGGATTCTACCCCCGAATAGTTTCGTCAGCCACCACTTGTACTATATAAAGTCAACTGTAATAGCCCATCACTGCTCATGATCAACTAATAAGACTGTGACATTACATGTGCTGGATTTATATAATGACAAAATACACTTATGATGATCAGTAGCTGTAACAGTGGAAGGCTAGAGGAACACACCAACTACTCCTCCATATAAGATACAGTAGGAGAACCAAAATAGTGTCCCCAAATGCCTATTCTTGGTGACAGCAGGGTTTTTTGGTACCACAGCTGTCTGTTTTCAGTTAGCTTAATTAAATTGTTTCACAGAACTGAGAAATTAGTTTGATCCTGTAGACACTACCTAAGTTCCGTTTTGTGTCTGAGAGTGTAAGACTGACCTGGCTTTTATTTTATACATTTTTAAATATAGTATTTGGCCTCCTCCGGCATGTCCCCCAAAGAGCTTTATGCTCTGCTAAGAACAACAGACCGGTGATCCCTGGCCCAAAAGACATCTGGCTGCCCTCAACTAGAGCCAGGGCTTTTTCAGCCCTAGCTTCTCCCTGAGAGAACTCTCTGCCAAGCAACACTCAGGCCCTATGGGATGATGCAACTCTGCAGGGGCTACAAGGCAGAGATGTTCCACCAGGCACAATCTTGGCTGGCACTCCTTATCCTTTTCCCAGTTCCTTTTCCATCTTTTCTAATAAACCTCCCCTCCCCCCCACGTGGGGTGGCACATGGTCTGAAAACTGACATGTCAATTGGCTTATGTTAACACCATCTGATAATTGTTTTAATTTAAACCAAATTTTTATTGTGTTTTATTGTCTGATGTTTTTGTGTTTTGTTGTTCAGCGCCCAGAGTCCTAAGCAATCAAGGACTGGGCGATTCATAAATCTAATTTATAAATAAATGAATAAATAAAATGTGACACACACCCCTTTGACACTTTCATTACATTGGTAACAACTTCATTTGCATAGACTAACACTAAAGCTGATATTTTGGTAATGTGAGCAAATGGGGACTTTTATAAATATACATATGAGGAACTTACCACCGGAAGAGTAAACCAGGTAGCAACAACTCTATCAGTAATCCAACGATACCAGGCAGGAGAGACAAACATCAATGGCAGCAAGGGACCAAGCATAAAAATGCTTCCAAAAACACTTCCCAAGAACAGTGTGAGTACAAAGTAAATCCCTTTCCATGACACCATGGCTCTGGAAAACAAAGAGAAGGTGTTTATACAAGCAGCTTCAATACAAACG